GTTGTTTATTATGGACACTTTTAGTTCTAAAAGTTTAAACAACCATCTTTATCAATTTCCAAAGTAAAATTTATATTACGGTGTAAAGAATTAATTAGTTGGAGTAGTTCTTTTAGATCCTCTAGGGTTCCCGACTATACGCATAAAATGTCGTATAAATAGCGTTTCCAAAAACGAACAGATTTAATTAATTAAATTAATTAAAGAAGGATTCATTTGAGGAACAATGTACGTTCAGGATGAAATTTTCTATAAATCCTCATAGTATCTTTGTTTCATTTGGGCCCACCCTCTATGTGTGAAAGGTCTCTCTCTCTTTCGCTCTCTCGCTCTCTCACTCTCTCACTCTCTCTCTCTCTCTCTCTCTCTCTCTATATATATATATATATATATATATATATANCTCTCTCTCTCTCTCTCTCTCTCTCTCTCTCTCTCTATATATATATATATATATATATATATATATATCTCGCTCTCACAATTTGGATTACTTTGTCGGCACAAAAATATATGTTTGGGTTAATTCCCCTCCTAATTCCCATTCCTTGGGTCACGGCGCTGAGTATACCTCACCGGCATTACCTGTAGGTCCTGCGGTACTGTATCCGATGCTCTTTAAATATCAGTATTTTTATTACTGTTTATATATTTGTGTTTATGTAGTGTGATTAGTCATTAATCGGTTCATCTAAAAACGGTGATTTGTACACATTTGTCAGTTACTACTTAAATCTATTTAGTTTCGCACAATATTAGAAAAAATACGTATGTTCTCTATATTTTGTCATTCATTCTCTCTTCTTTCTATTTCTCCCTCATTTTTTCCGTTTTATTCTCCCTATCGATTTTTTATTATTTTCACTTTCTATCCATATTTTTACCTCTCCTACTCTGTTTTATAAATCTAAATAAATTCGACTAAGAAGGCTAATTTACTTTCAATTTTCTTCGAATTCCGTTTTTTGTAAACTTTGAAAATTTGGCACTCTCGACACTACACGCAAGAATGGCTCAATTACACAGAAGACAAACACTTGAGCCCTGAAAAGGTTCTCAATAAAGATCGAAACGTTGGCACGATAAAGAAAATGTTTTTCTGAAACCTACATCACACCAGACCGCAACTCACGATTGCTAAATAAAAAAAATGATCCTAAGAGTTACAGTTGCACTGTTATTGAATGCAGTGGCATATTTTTGTTAGGTTAATTTTTGTAAGCATATTAGGAATGTGGTCACTTATATTCATTGACTACATTCCCAATAATCTAAAGAACATTAACTTTGTGACATTGTTGGTGGATACTTCCAGACACAATTCTACTTTTATGCATTTAACATCTTTACCTCAAAGACACTAAGTAATGGCCAAAGGAATTGAATTGTCTTATTTTCTGTTCTGAACACACCTTTGTAAGGTAAAACCCAGATTATATTTGACGTTTTTTCTAAGTTCCCATATAGGATCCCGTAGTGTTAAAATGGCCTCTAAGCGACTAATTTTATTTAAAATTGATTAATCGAATTGGAGTGCTTTTGTGAATTCGTCAAACTCTCTCCTCCCATTATTTTTCCCGATAATGTTTTCATTTCTTAATTTCAATTTTAACTCAAATTTTACAAAACCACAACTCGGTAAAAGATGAACGGAAAGAAAAGTGTGGGATTCTTAGAAAAAGTTAGGGGGACCTGAAAATTTTTTAAAAATGTTATGGAGTTATCTTTTATAAAATATCAATACATATACATAAGTAAACAGATAAGATGTTAACATGAAAAAACTTTCTTTCCAGGACACCTTGCTATACGGTACAAAAATAGTGACGATATGATCGCCTTTTGCAAGGGGTTTGTTTGCTCTACTGTATTTAATTTGCCGATGATTGGATTTTCTGAATATCTGAGTTAAGCAGTGATTTTCAGATACCAAACTGCATGCAAACATATTGGTCTGGTGATTAGATTAATTAGGTTCTTATTTATTAACGACAGGTTTGAGTTTTTGTCCAGGGGAATTTGTGTATGAATGTTTTTCTTGTGGTTTACCCTATCCTAAATATAATAACATCGTCGAGCGAAATGCGGGCTGGTACGGAATTAAAGAAGCCTTGTTTGTAGGAAAAATAACAAAAATGGTTTAAGACTTGTCCAAGTGAAATTTATACAGCAGAACATGACAGCCTTGACTAAATCTCTTGTTCATGTTCTGATTTTGGAATTAACTTCACGTTTATTTAGAAGATTTCGTCCTGGAAGACCATTTAAAATCCAGAAAGATTTATGTTCTATAAAGTATATGTTATTAGAAATTTCGCAATTAATTACTTAATTTTACCTCATACTGGATACATATTAAAGTTGAGTTCCTTGTTAAAATTACACTGACAGGAAAAAATTCCACCATACTGATTGTTTTTGGATTTTCTCGATAAATGAAAATTCTGCCCTTAATTTGTCTCATTGTTTTTATCAATAAATATTTGTTTATTTTATGTTTTAAATTGGAAATATCAACTAGAGGTAAACGAACGTAATCCTTTATCCAAAACAAGGATTAAGGATTTTTCAATTTAATTTTTACGGGATTTTCAATCTTTATTCAGACCCATTTGAATTGTGAAACAATAAACTGTTTAATTTTCATCTTTGTTTTATTAATTTCAGTTTTTAAACTTAAAAATGCCACTTAGTGCTGAGGATGTTGCGCATGGTGTGGCTCTTATTGATGATAGACGTTCCGTCATCATGTGGCTATTGCCATAGGAATTCCGTACAAAAGTCTGCGAGACGCCGTTAGACTTTTCAAGAAAATGTGTCCTCCCATAAAAGGCCCGGATTTGGTCGCCCTAGGGTAAGAAAACCACAGGATGACCGTTTTTTAACTTTAAGAATTTGGCGAAACCGGCAACTTACTGTTGTTCAAGCGATTCTTCAGCTCCTGGAAGTTCGTGGTTCCAAAGTTCTAAACGCACTGCTCGAAGAAGATTAAATCAGTATAGACTGATGGCTTTTCGCCCCTTAAGAGGACGAGAATTGTCCAAAACACACAGAATTGCACGGCTCTCATTTGCACGAGAATACACCCATTAGTCTTTTGACGATTGGTCTAATGTACTTTTTACAGATGAGTGCACATTTCTCTACGAACTTCAGATGAGAGTGAAAGAGTGTGGAAAAGGCGAAATGAAAGGTACAAAGCCTTTTTCCCAGATCCGACCTTCCTCGTAAAGAATGGGCTAAATCCAGCAAAGAAATATTTCCAGACAGTTAGAATGTATGTTGTCGCGTCTTCGAGATGTAATTATAGCATGAGGAGGAATTATCCGATATTGAAATGTTAATTAAAAATAAATGTTTTAATTTTTTGTTTCATTTTCCTTAGCAATTTACATTTTTTAACTTTTTTAGAGACAAAGTTTCAATAATTAAACGTTAAAAAACGTGAAACATTGATTACTATATAAAAATATATACACATCAAGTGATATTACAAGTGAGCGGAATTTTTTGCCTGTCATTGTGTAATATCAGAAAGCAGTGCTTGTGAAATATTAATTTCAATGGTACAAATCAACGTTTTTAATAGCTTTTACACATTAGTTAATTAAAAAGCAAAAATAAATACATTTCCGAATATTTCTAAATGTTTCATGTAAAAGTGAACAAAAAACTGATGTCAATATCTTTGATTAAAAAGAAAAACGTACACCTGTTGATATAAATTGGTCATATTTTCCCAGCGTAAAGTTAGCAGGTAATTGAACTGCTATAAACAATCATAAAGAAATACTTTTTGCAGTTGTAACATTTGAAGAAAAAATCTTTTCCTTTATTCAACTTTTTAATTAAAGGAAAAACACAGGTGTTTGGACAGTTGTACGTATACGTTCCAAACTGTAATCGAGCGGATGGTTGATATACAATGCATATGCCGAGATCAAGGAAGTATAAGGCTTGAATATAAATGAAGTAAATGCATTGGATCGGCACCCAATTTGCAGTTAACTGGGCCGTTTCGTCCCACACAAGATGCCCGACCACCGTGTATTCTTTAAACAAATCAGGATCCTTCACATCTAGCTCGTTGTCAATTATTGACCCGGAGCCAGTATTGGAGTTTACAAATGTATGAAAGATTTTTTTTTTGGGGGGGGGCTTTTTAGAAATGTATATATAAGAAATTTATTCAGACATGTCGATAAATTTTTGATTTGAGGTTTCGAACAAATCCTGGTAGAAGTATAGTAAGGAAATTTTTGTGTCTTCTTTATAAGAATTTTTCATAATAGAAGGCCACTCTTTTACGATCTGTTTGACCCAATTTTCTTTGTCATAAAATATTTGTATAAAAGATGAAAATAATAATAATTTATGCAAACCTGCTGTGTTTGAATATTCTAAATGTTTTCTTGGATTATTCAGTCAGTATTTGAAATACTTAACTGGGGAATTAACGTAAAAATAGAAATTGAAATTGGGATATTAATTTTTGTATTTATTAACGGTTTGGAGCAGGTTCATTTCTTTTTCTCCTTCCTATTTAAACATATTTTTAAGTGATGTCATTTTTAGTTGAAACGTTGATAATTGAGTTAGTTTTTAATGGATTCGGTGAATAATCAACAATATAAAACTAAATTTAACATTATGATGGATTGGGAGAATGGGTGAATAATGGATCTAATGAAAATAATATATTTATATTAGGTTATATCATGATCAGTTTAAAAAAACCAAAATAAGTTCTGTATATATACAAACAATTAGTGGTTTATATATACACAGAACTCCATTTTAAACTCCATGTGACAAAAATTAAACCCCTAATTTTAATACATATTTTAATATCTAATTTTTANATATATTTCAGATATTAAAATGTATATATATATACACACAACTTATATTGATTTTTTTAAACTCCATGTGACAAAATTAAACCACTAATTTTTTTATTTATTTAATTATCAATTTAATACATGGCTTTTGTTTTTCAGTGAAAGGAGACGCTACACTGAGGAGTGCAACTTGGTGGTTGATTCCAGTAATGACAGGCCTAACCATGTTTTTTGGAAAATCGTGATGAGCCGATGGAAGGCGAAGTCTCATCGGCAAAAAAACACTGTGATATGTCTTTTTAAATTTTTCTTTTTTGTTTTTCAAATCGAAAAATCTATTTATTGATACGTGTGAGAGTTTCATAACGATTGATAAAAGTTGGGAAAAGTCCTCTCATCCCCCGCCCACTACAGCCCAGAGACACTTTTCAATAATTCCGACCTGTGTCTCCCTTTTCCCCAGGCTGTAAACTTTACCGCCAGGCCGACCCGAATTTTTCCACACTTACGACCGGTCGTTCGGCGCGATACACGAGTTTTTATTTACGGTAAGCGCGAGCCGGACCCGAATGTAAATTACGTCGGGATGCTTATTTCCACGGATGGGAGCTCAAATTGAGTTTGCTCAGTTTGTTCAGGCAGCCTTCTTCACCGCCCGAGAAACTCCAAGGCACAAGAATTTCCGTATAATGCCCATTTCATTCAAATATGGCGAAATCTTAAAATAGTTCTCCTCCGAGAGGGAAACACTTTCCAGTTGATTTTCATGCAAGTACACGTACGAACCTTCCTATTAGTTTTTTAATAAAATATGTTAACTTTTAATTATTTATAAGTTTATAATATTGACTATTAACGTTAGATGTATTAGGTATGTTTTTTTACTCTTTATACTTGCTTTTTTTCATATTTTGTAAACAGCAGAAACACGAACAAACCATGTTTACCTTATTTTTATTATGAAATAAACGAACTATTTATAAAGGTAGTTCAGTACCCTTTACAGGTTTTGTAACAATTGGCCATTCAAACTTAACTTATTTAAAGTGTTTGTACAACAATTTATTTTTTCAAAATTCTATCTTTTCCATTTATTGATTATACAAAAGTAATTACTGTTTATGTTTATGGCCCTAACATCTTTTTACGGTTTTAATCAATATTCAGGGTTGTTGCATAAATCATATTATTATTATTTTTGTACGAAAAAGTACGAACTTGTATACGGACATGGGAAACTATTGAGTCAACTAACTCAAGAAATGTTTAGCGCAACTGGATCAGAAAATGTTAGACACGTGTTTGAGTCTTGTTGCCAATTGGACATAGGAACCGAGTAAAACAGAATTTAATCATATAAATATTTTTCTTTTATTTTATTATCTTCCTTTATTTCATTCTAGCGTTTAATTAGAGGTAAATATATATATATATATATATACATACGTAGAAACATACACATTTACAGGAAAAAGCCTAGATTTATCATCTTCCATATGTTACCGATGATTTTTTCAAAAATCAAGAATAAAATTTACCATTTTGAAAAGAAACCACGGATCCACTGGTTTCGATCCTTATAAATTACACGCAAAGGGCAAAATCGGATTACCTTAAAACAATTAAAGCTTGAATTATGAAATAATAAGTTTGGGAGGTTTTTGTTGATATTTTTTCTTATTTTTCTTACTTTAATAAGATTGCATCTAATTTTCGTGAACTCGTCTAAAAGAGGAAAATGCCGCTTTTCAACTTTTGTAATTACGTTGAATTAGGATAGAATCTTCAGGAGTTTTGGATTTTTAATTGGAACGCTTGACTTTGAAGCAAAAAAATCACTGGTTTGAACATCCCAAAATTGTGTACGTCTTGTTTACTATAAAAATTTAATTTTATGGTTTAAAGCGAGTCTAAATTGATTTTTACATAAATAAATGTTGTTGACCTACTTTACTGCATACAACATTTGATTTTTGTAATTTTCTATATCAATGTTTATTTAACACAAAGCTGAATTATTTTCTTAACCCACCTGCAAAAACAAATTGACTGTTACTTAACAACTTTTAATCTTCTTCATAACAGAGATAGATGACTATATTCTAAGTATTTTAATTATCTTAGATTAAGACAAATAAATAACAAATTGATTCAACTCATTTAATAGGTTGTTATACATCAATCGATTAGTTTTTTCAAGTGGGATAATATAGTAGTTCAGGTTTGAATTGAATAAGCTTAGACATTTGGAAACTTACAAGAACCAAATGTCGCGTCTAGTAAAGTAGATCAAAAATTTATTTATTTATTTGTTCAAATCTATCGTTAAAAAAAGACCATCATCCACAAAAGGAAGAGTCCAATTTATCAATTTTTTTGAGACACGAGTCTATTTTTTTGATCTAGTGACACTAAAAATTTCTTTAACAACGAGATCCTACGTCCGTAGTCCCCTCCTGTCGGATGAACTAAACTAAATGTTTATTGTTTAAAAATGATTTTTTTTTGCATTTACTTTCTACCCTATATAAGAACTTTATGTGGTTTCGTTTTTTTCTTTTGTACTTGTTTTTTTCACAGACAATTTTTTTTTCACACTTTGTATAACATATGTGTATAAAAATTAGCCTGTTTGTTTTCGATCTTTTCTATTTATTTGGATGACAAGGTAAATTCATTTTAAAATTTTATTAAATTCACTAATTTCGTGGTCCGCTTGACCAATTAAAATTTTATGTCCCATTGGTGACCGCGGTAGCTGAGTGGTTAATGTGTCCGACTTATATTTCCCACGTTTGTAATTCTGGGTTGGGATGCACAGGCACAACCCATGGAATAATGGGAAAAAAAGTTATTGTGAAATCTTTTGACTATTCATCCACGACACAAAGTATTTATTTTCACTCGAAACCCTCCTCTTTGATAGAAAGTATTTTATCAGTTGCTTTTATTAATAAATTATGTTCTTTATGTTAATTAGGTTTTATAATTTTTTATTATTACAGTTATTTGATAGTTACTTAATAAAATATTTGTAGTTGTAAATATCAAATAAATGTTATAAAAACATTTATTGCAATACCCTTATTTAATAATTATATTTACATAAAACGTAAAAATAAAACAAAAGAGCATCTCAATTATTAATTTGTTTGGACAAACATTTAAAATGGTGACTATTACGAACTTTCGACATTAATTGTACAAAGGTAATTATATATTTTTTTAAAATTTTCTGTTGCGTGCCGTAAACTGTAAATCAATGGACACGAACGTTTAGCCTTCAAAATTACGTTGTGTTTCACAACTGATATATTCTTTGTATTCATGTTTTTCCAAATTGAGGTACATGGTTTAAAAATGAGACTTTCAACTAACAATCGATATTTTACTATTTTATTTTATTTATTTTTTAAATTTATTTTTACTGTGATTTCTATTGTTTACATTTCCATTACACCACTTTAAAATAAGTAAATGGAATACTAAGAAATTTTTCCGATCCCACTGTTTTTGTGTAAAGAATTTTCAACTTTTTGTACATAGATGGTTTGTGGAATGCAGGAAATGACATGAAAAGCCAATGAACGCTGAATGTTCTTTTTATTCAAACTTACTGTAAAATTAAAATGTAAATTGTTTACACGTTGTATTCTGGTTTATGTTAGTATCTTTTGTACAAAAAATGCTAATTATCAACTAGAAAATTTCTCAGCTAGTGTTTTGCTGTTGATGTATGTAAAATAAAAAAAGTATATTCTGAAATAATGTACATGTATATAAAAATGCAAAGGATATATACGTATATATTGAATTATAATAGTTTATGATAACAATTAATTATTCATAATATATTTTATAAATGTAAATGTTCGTCACTTTTTTGTTGATTTTTGGCGTAGTTTACGGTGTAATTTATTATAAATTATTGTAAAATCAATTTTAAAATCACTTTATTTAAAATAAAGTCTTGTTTATTATATCTTGATTTTATACCTTTTCCATCATAATAATACAAAAATATTTATAGGGGTGTCCAGTGAATAGACATCAATACTTCAGGACATGTCAAATTGGACTAAAAATCCTCTACTGTCCAACGTGTGATCATCAATTTTATTGGACATATTTCACGTTTAAAATTATTTAAACCTTTTGCAGCTTTGTTACATAACGTCGCACATATCTCATAAAAGTTACCCTTTAAAATTTGATTGCACAATTGAGAAGAATATTAACTGTATGGGAATCATTTTTCATTAAATTCAGCACAGAAAATGCAATATCCACCCAACAAACACTGAATACGGGTCTGAAGCGACAAAAGCATTAGCTCCCTTTGGATCAATTTTGATCCTATTTTTTCCTGTAGTTTACATATTATTGATTTTCTTTTAGAGATTTCTGGGTTAACAACGGATATTATTTGACCTAGTTTTATCGGGTGGTTATTTGCAGCATTTTGATCGGGCTTTGAACAAATTACAAAATATTATTTTTTAAAGATTTTGATAAATGTGGTGATGGGCTGGTTTAAATTTGGATGATTCACGATTTGAACTTTGCTGTATTTCTGGATCGTTTTTCTTTTGAGGGTGTTTCCGTAATCAGAAGGAGCAGAGATATAGCTTTTGTTAAAAATTTCTGTAATATTCTTTAGGTTGTTTTGAGATTGCATAAATTTTCTATTTCTGTTTTTGTCATCTTTTTCGCTCTTACTTGCCATTATGCTTGCATTAATGGGCAAGTAAATTATTAATATGTGAAAACTATTTGTAAACATTAACAGCAATAAATTATAACAAGGAACCGTTATCGGAAACAAATTTTATAAAAAACAAATTGTGCTCCCTGAGATAAATACTTGGTAGAGTCCTTTGATGTTTCGGGGCACGGGATATGGAGATAAGAACGAAAGACAACACAGCCGATCTTCTCGGAATCCGAAACACGACTGAATAAGTCATGGTAAAATTCACATGATTCCGAAAGATCATACATTGGAAACTTTTATTAAAATAGGTTAAAAAATCCTAGAAATAATAATAATAAATAAATTGTTATAAAGAATTGTTCACGAAAAATTAAAGTTCACCAAACTTAACATCACTAGTTTTCGTTGTCCACTTGACCAATTAATATCATTCAATTAATTAAGGTTTTTAGTTGAGATAAAAAAGTCAGTGTCACGAGCGGGATTCGAACCCGAGACCTTCGGCTTGATACGCCGCTACTCTACCACTAGAGATACCGTGAATCGATCCACTCGGGCACCAACCATT